AAATAAAATAAAAAAAAGTATTAGTAGGCTCGCATAAAACGGAGGTGATGTTTTGCCGTCTTTATAGACAATGGTACGGAACGCTTCGTGTGCGCGTCCGAGTCGCAATTGGCCGGCTTTAAATATTTAATATTTTTCCTCCAGAATTAAAGCGTATTATTCGACATTTGTATAGACACCTTTACCTGTAATCGATTAATAGGAGTCCCAAGACGGTTGCCGTGAGTTTTCAGGCCGACTGTGTCACCTTAGATTGAGTGTACCATTTCACCAAATTCACCATCCTTCGTAACAAAGTTTCAGAAATGCACAAGACCATTCGAGACGTTGTGTTTTTGCAGCGGCGTTAGCACTCTCGGCACCTAACTGTCCATAGTTACGTTAAGATGATCATGAAGAATTTTAAAAAGAATCAGACACTCCAACTTCTCAGAGTTTCTTCTTTAGCCGAATATCTCCTATTATTATTTTTTCGTCTTGTTTTGAGAATTTCTCTAGTTTCACTTCATTACGACTTCAACAATAAAATAACAGATCAGTCAAAGTATAGTTAGACGGACTGGAAAAGTCAACCCCGAAGATGGGTATAATGGCTAAGAAGTAAATTTCTATGAGATATTTGTAATACTCCACACAGTTTAACTCGTCAAATAAAGAAGTTTATATTAAAAAAATTACGAATGTATTAAAAACTTTTAATTTTCATAATATCTTAACATATTACATTTCCACAATGCTGAATTTGAGGAAAACATTTGTTTAAAATTTTTTGTGCAAAAAAGATCGTGATATTTAATTACGATTCTTTATATTTATAGTCAGTATTTGTTTTTATTTTACAGCCTGGGCTGGCGGCAATGGATCTCAACATTTAAATTCATGAGTACAGTTGTGCACAATGAAGCTCCATTAAGAAACGCTAGTCAAGTGTTTGTTATTTTTTTTTTTCAACGTAAACCACAATGAACACGAAACCGTCCATGCTTTCTTCTCATTTTCTCGATATAACACGCTTGAACTACTCCATATTATATTGAAAGCATGTTTTAACCGTGATAGCATAGTGTTCGATTTAGATTCACAACCCGAGTTCAAATACCAGTGCTTGCACCAGGGAATTCGTTAAGTGTCGATCGAAGGGTTGTTTGTTGGTGAAGTAATATATGTCGAGAGAAGGCCTTTGTCCATCATTCGGACTTAATGAGGGTTGTTGCTTTGCATGTTTATGATTGGCTCAAAGTAAATTGACTCGGTGATATTTGCCCGAGCGTTTTGTTTAAGAAATCAACGCTCACGTGAAATGAAAAGTTACCGGTGTACATTTTAAGTACTGATGCTATTACTCTTCATATTATTTGATTAATTCATCGAAACATACCTTTTTCCATCTATAAACAGCATTGTTATCGGCAGGTCATCTCTGCGTACGATTGGAATAGGTGTCTCTTAACAATCAAATTTTATAGGCCTCAATTACAATGTTACATCGATGGGGCATTTAATAGCTTGCGTCTGCGACATATTTATTCGACCGACTCATTCGTGGCAAAGGCACGAGTCGATCTGTTAAAATGTCATCTAGTCTTCAAACGTAGGCTAGATTTGAAAATGTGAACAATGCTTTAACCTTAGATTATATTTACTTTAGCATAAAATGAGCCTATAGTGTACAGTGATATATTTAATATAAGGAGGGCTCGAAATATGCCGAAATTCTATCATTATAATACAGCTTTGACTAACTCTTAAGTTTGCTTAACTCTAGTTACATTATGGGCAACTCTTCATATTCAATACTATACCCGAGTGTCCAATCATCTGCATTCTTCTGACTAAGCGACCTAAGTTATCATTTACCAACCAATTATTCTATACTGATGAACATCGTCATGGCAACTTGTAGCGAATAAAAACTTCAAGTTTAATTATTATTAAACTTAAGTGATCCATACAGAACACCGGTTCTCTACAGCCACTGCACGCGTGATATTTACGGTCTAATGATTTTAACTACTCAGTAACAATTATTATAAATGACGAAAGCGATACATGGTATCTATAATGTCCATGTTTTTTAATATGTATATGTTTTTTTTTATTTCTCATAAAAAAACATTGCCCATACTTTATGATAACATTATCCTGTGTTGTAAGGACGTTTTACAAACATAAATTACGCGGACAAACACCCAGATGCGAAACAACTGACTGTGGGTCACGCAAATAGTTGTCCCGTGTGGGAATCGGACCCACGACCCCCGACGCCGAAGCCAATACCTTGGCAAATGCGCGACGGAGTTATCAAAGACGGACGCAGGGATTTTGCTATTGGAAATGTGTAGGTATGTTTCCGATAGCAAAATCTCTGCGTCTTTACACCGAAATTATTCGCCTACCGGTATTTTTGCAGGAATTTTTTTTTTTTCGGTGCCAGTTTGTCGAAATACATTATGCATATATACAGAGCGAACGTTTCCGTTGGCCTCGTTTCTCTGTATAACCGAAATCGTTCGGATCAACTGCCGGCGTACCTTTCGTGTGTTTGAATGTAGTACTTACGTCAACGTATTCGCGTTTACAAGCTGTCTCCACTAACGGGGACGGCAGACTTGGCAAGCTCTGTACGCCTTTCGCCGAGAATACTCCGTTTAAAGTAAACGTAATTCTTATGTAAATTGAATGCAGTCATTGTTTAACGCTAAAAAATCCGAAAAGGATTAGGGCCAGAAGTCACTGCTGTGAGTAGAGGACGTAAAAGTATAGGTAGTGTTTGTTTTTTCGATCGACTTCAAAGAGGAAGTACTAAGAAAATTTATCAACTCGGTTCATTTTTTGTTTTGTTACCTCAAAACTGTAATCAGGGATCTCTTCAAAATCGAATAGAAAATGTATATTTGAAGTCGGTTTTGGTTTTGTTACTACAAATATTTTTTTATTAAGTTTCGTCTGGTTTGTGAGTCTCGCTTTCCACAATAGCCAGTAACATCGGTCGCACGCGATGACGTCAAGAAAGTCCAAGTCAATACATATCGGACAATACAGAGATTGCTAAAGCATGGGGAAGCATGGGTATATATTTTTTTGAAAGTGGAAAGCAAAAAGATGTCGAGTGATTATAGCCGCCCTCCATGGACATAAAACTCTTGTGGTTCTACAAATTATAGAGGTTTGCAAACTGCAAACTAAAAAGGGGGCCCTGAAATGTTAACAGATGGGGTAATACTTACACTTCTCCTGGCGTTCGTAAGGCAAGGTACTTCCTCGGATTAGAGTGCCAATTCGTGCTGCAGCAGAGACTACTACTAAGGCCTCTATGGCTCTATGGAGAAGACTTCTATGGCCCAACCACTAAGTTCTTACCACTTAACCGTTGTCTGCCTAATTGATATGAATTGATGATTATAATTTCTAGTATTTACGTGACAACACATTATAAATGTAACTAACTTTTAAGGATTTATCGCGTTTATTTTTTAATTCCCGACGTTTCGAACCCTTTACATGTTTTTACCCTTACAGCGTTCATGGTCACGGTACAGATTAAGGCGTTGGACGTCTGCTTGTCATAGTTAACCCGGGCTACCGTCAGTTTTTGAATTATTAAGTTTGTGTCCGATCTATACAGGGGAGCTAATTGTATCGTGTCTTGGAGTAATGGTTCGTTTGGGCCTAGATTTAATTTTATTGATGATAGGATCCCAAGCTGATGGTAACACCCAGCCCTCTTCCCTATCAAACCTGATGTTGTGGTTGGGCCGATTTAAGGTGTGCTCACAAACTGCAGACTTGTTAAATCTAAATTGCAGTTCCAAATTTAAACAGGCTTCTGATACTATGGTATGGTCGCCCTACCTGAAAACTAGGTTAAGTCTACTTGAGAATATTGCAAATTTCACAAATATTTCCACAATGGCTTGCTCTCGCCGCACTCGCCGCTTGGTGCTTTTGTGAAATTTTCACTGCTGACCGAGTAAGATGTTTTAGATGCTTTAAAATTTTTTAGTTTTTATTTTCTCCGTCACACAAATGAAAAGCAAATAATAGTTTAAAAAAACTGTATTATGGAACATAATTATGTTGTTTAATTCTGTATGTCCAGACTGTATTAACAGTGACAACAGTACGTAAAATACTCTAGCCCCTTAAACAACTTATTGGCGATTGCGAAAGTTTTCAATTACTCCCTTTACCCTTCTTTTGTTGTTTCTCCAATGCTGGGGCTCGTGACAGACGATTTCTTTAGACAATAACTTTGGGATGTACATAAAATATCGTTATTCTTTATTTGATTATTATTGCGACATCAAGAATCATTATTATTTGATATTTTATGAAATCTACTATAGGTATACCTAAACGAACATTACCTTAAGGTTTGCATTATATTTTTTAATGTTTTAATTTGTATTAACTTGGTTAAGTAAATATACACATATAAATTACAGCCTATAAATGAAAATTTGCTGGACAAAAGCCGAGGAGGCTTATTCGGAGGGTATTAGGGCATAGTCAACCCCGCTACCCCACTGCGGATTGACAGACTTCACATACCTTTTAAATTTTTTACTTTTTTGTTAATATTTCGAGAATATGAAAGTTTCCTCTCGATGTGTTCCCTTCACCGCTAACCACGTGATGAGCCAGCAGTAAACATTGCAATTAACAATGTCATTGGTGCCAGCATGCACCAGGACTTGAAGTTGGTGGTTCGAGTTCATTCTTTTTTTTTTTAAGCATTGCCCTTTAGGATAACATTATCCTGTGTTGTCCTAAATCTTATCCGTAAGGACATTATAAAAACATACATTTACGTGGACAAACAGCCACCACATGCGAAACAACTATCTGTTGTTGTCCCGTGTGGGAATCGAATCCAATACCTTGGCAACTGCGCCACGGAGTCATTGAATTAAAAGCGAACGCCTGGACCTTTAGTTGGTGTGATGTCTATTAATTTGGATGCGATAATGTTAATTTATGATTTTTCACTTATTTTCCAGGGTGTTACGGTACGAGGACCTAGCATTAAACCCGAACGGCACTACGCATCGACTCTTCAAGTTCCTAGGGCTGGGCGTGGCGCAGCCAGTGGAGGAGTTCCTGCACTCGCACACCAACGTCGAGGTGGCGGGCGTGAGCTCCACCTTCAGGGTCTCCCGAGATGTGCCTTTCAGATGGAGGAATGTTCTCGACTTCGACTACGTTGAAGATATTCAGGTAATGAAATGACATCGAGAAGCGCACTTTTAAGGGATCCGTACCCAAAGGGTAAAACGGGGGTCCCGTTTACTAATATTCTGCTGCCTGGTCTGTCACCAGGCTGTATTTCATGAACTGTAATAGTTAGTTCAAATTTTCACAGATGATTATCAGTATTTCTGTTGCCGCTATAACGCCAAATACTAAGAAACAGTATAAAATATTTATGTGGAGTTTTTACGAAACCCTTCGTGCCCGAGTCCGACTCGCACTTGGCTGGTCTTTCTGTTCTTTATATAACAACATAATATGTAGAACATACAAAAATAAGAAACCGTTTAATGACACGTGTTTGCTTAAAAATGTTTACATATAGTTTACTAGCTTTTCGCCCGCGGCTTTGCTCGCGTTGAAGCCCTTAAATAAATATCTATCCCCTTTACGAACTTATTGAACTTTTTGAACGATTTATAACCCTTTTTCCAATTAAAGAATAACCTATGTCCTTTCTCAGGGTCTAGACTATCTGTGTACCAAATCTCAATTTAATCGGTTAAGTAGTTTTGACGTGAAAGCGAGACAGACAGACAGAGTTACTTTCGCATTTATAATATTAAGTGAAGGTTGATAAATATTTTCGCATAAATATGTATTTAACGATAAAAATAAATGACATTTATCATCATATCAGTAGTTTTTAAATATCATTCTTGCTTCCAACGAAAGTTAAAAAACCGCACCTCTTAAAATATCTTTATTGTGAAGCGTCTGAAGTGTGCCACCTCAAGTCAAGGAGGCTTCGTTCATGATATTCAGCAACAATGGTTTCAAGAAAATTAAGCTTATGCCTCGGGTTTCTTCTTAACCTTTTAGGTGACTTTTAAATTGCAAGAATAACAATTTATTATGTTTAGGGAAACATTTTAATTCGACTAGTTTGCATTTTTGGATTTTGTAGTAAGTCGGAATAAAAATTATGTCACGCAACTTCAACTTTGGAAAACTTTTAAATTGTCTTAGGATTATGGACAGAATTTTCACCCCTTGAATTTCGGCTATTACAAAGTATTTGTATGGCTTTAGTATCAATTCCAATATCGGGAAACTGAATTCGAGCCGAGTTTAAAAATTGAGCGGCATTTAAAGATTGTTCCGCTTATAATGTATAAGTACCCGGAGGACCGAGCTTTGCTCGGTTTGTTTTTTTTTGGTAAATCGTGTATTTTGGAAATTACATTTAGATACAAATTACTGAGTAATGAAATATGCATAATATTTTTCGATCTTACCGACGTAATAATAAGAAAATATGATCTGATGTTTTCACAAAAGAAAGAACTTTAAAAAAAAAAGGGAAAAAATAACAAAATAACAAATCGACAAAAAATTAAAAATAAAGAAAGCAATGATCTGGAATCGAAAAAAAAGTAAAAAAATAAATGTGTAAATGATCGTGATCACGGCCGTCTGTTTTGGGGCCGCCCGATTACCGACTGAGCTATTTTGACATTTTCTCTTGCGGTGAAATTTACTGTCATATTCGAATTATATTTTTCATTCCCTGAAAAGAGGGATAAAAGGACATTTTCTAAAAATGAAACCTAGCTAGATCGATTTTTCGCCCCCGAATCTATACTCAATTTCATGAAAATCGCTGGAGCCCTTTCCGAGATTCCGATTATATATATACAAGAATTGCTCGTTTAAAGGCATAGAACGTATGATACGGAAAGTGATAGCAGTCTATAGAGTTGCAATCTTATCACACCAATTGGCGTAATTTGAGTGCCTCAGTTCCGGTGCGATATTGTCATATCTACCTCTTATTTGTATACATATTATATATATATATATATATATAGGTATGTATGTATATATTATCCTAGTATTTGTATACATATAATATAATTGATTCAAAGAGTTTTACATAAAACTCTGTGAGAAGCGTAATTCAAAGAGACGCGTTACATGCAAGTATTCTATTACAAGATCAACTTCAAAACATATTAGTTTCCTCGTGCGCCTATTGCAGTTTTATCAAAGCAATCTTTACTATTATTGTATTTGTATTATGTATTCAATTCTTTCATGCTTCATTCAACTTTAAGCTTTTAAATTAGCATCGATAAAATATACACCTAGGGAACGGGTGTTCAAATAAGGACATTCTTTTGTTTGTTCTTCTTTTACTCTGAAGAAATCTCAAAGTATGCCCTTAATAGTGCCCATGCTTATACATTAATTATATTCGGTATGAAAAACCACTACTATAAGATTTTTTTTTACCATTCAGTGCGATGTAAATTATTTCTAAAATTATTAATTTAAAAGAATTACTTTTGTAATTCTAATTTAAAATAGTTTATAAAACTTATCACATATGTAGATACTAAAACACGAAGCGAACTAAATCTTACTCGGCGTAAACCGCACCGTCTATGCGAAGATTACCGACAACTGGCAAATTAATAATGAATTCGCTTTTTTCTATAAGAAAGAAATAAAGAAAGAAAATACATTTATTTACCAAAGAAGGACGCACACAGTAATAGAGAAAAAAAAATAAAATTAACAAAAAATAAAAGAAATTAAAAAAAATACTTATAAATAGTTTAGTAAAGCTATACATAAAAAGTTCAAAGTTTTAGATGACTTTGGGCAGTTCTAAAGCCGTTAGCTTCGGCTTCGGGGGTCGCGGGTTCGATTCCCACACGATATCAGTACTTATGTGACCAACAAATAACTGCTTCGGATGTGGGTGTTTGTTGACAAGGACCCATGGAAAGTAAAGTCAAGTTTAAAGCCAGGCTGGTTGTCAAAAAACAGTTAACAACATTAGTCACATGTTATTCTGACCCTACCTAGTATAAGGGCAGGTCTGATACGCAATATATCCCGGCTTTAAAATTTATTGGAAAGAGACTATGCTTGGCTTTCTTCTAAGGTAAAAGTGTCATCTAGAACGATATAGTGAATGAGATAGTTGACACGATGTGTTTTTTTATTTTGTTGGGGATAAAGTGCACGATTCCTCAAGATTTTGTAAATTATTTAAGCCCTTCTGGCTTACGTTCTCATGACCTCACGGCATTTCTGTCATGTTATCATTTTGGCAGTCATAAAATACATCATATCACTCAGTACTAACCGAACCACACTCATGATTGCATCATAAGTAAAAATGTTTACCGCCCCGGTCACAGGTCAGCTAGTTTTTTTGTTATTTTGCAGTCTTCATGTGTGCATGTTTTTTAATTAATTTGACACAAGTAAGTAGTTACACAGTGTAAATACGTTTTATATTTTTAATACTTATCATCATAATATATGACCCTACGAACAATGAGTCTTTTAGGGCACACACCCCACTGCGAATTGGCAGACTTCTTAACGCATTCTTTGTATTATTTCGCGATATGCAGCTTTCCTCACGATATTTTCCTTCATGACCGAGCTCCTTGTAAATTAGAACTTAAAATTACAATGAATACTTTAACTAGTTCTGTCCAGGATTTGACCCGTGACAGCAGGTGTCTATTTGAAGTCTCGAGTACAATCTATTAAGACATAAACAAATAACCTATTAAAAAACAACGCCTGGTTGTAAATGGTATCACGTGGTTTTTTTGTCATCAATGTTGGTTCAAACGTTGATGAACATTTATAATCATAATTGATATTTATGAACGTTTGAACCAACAATCTGAATACAAAGCGGTCTCATGCTAAGTATAAGAAAAGTAATGGTATAACGTATATTTCAATACGAGTGCAACTGGTTACAGATAACGTGCAGAGAAGCGATGAGCCTGTGGGGATATAAAATGGCGCACAACGCATCTCACATGACAAGCAAAGACTTCTATCCTCTTGAGCAATATTCCCTTGTACAATGAACGTGATATTCTGTGATAAAATTGTTCTTGAAATTTCGTTTGATGGAGAGCCTATTTGGAATAATAAAATGTGAGTTTATGTAATATTTATAAAACAATCTCCTATTAATTTTTGTGTAATTTCTATTATTAATGACTCCAATTGTATTGTCACATTATTTACTCGTAACTGAACTAAAGCCGACCTTCGGTTAAAGTGTTTATTACTAATTTAAGGTAAACTTTAAACATGCATTATTCATCTGTAACTTTTCGCAATCCTTTAGTTTATATTTATGTGCCTATGGTTACAGCACCTCTGGAGTTGCAGATCCTTTGCTGTAAAAGAATGGGCTCTGGTCACCCACCGCTACGCAAAAGCATGATACTTCCACTTTACGCCGAGCCTTTATGAGGCCCTGGTACTCCCGGTACTTTCGTTTATTGGTGCAATCTAATACTTGAACTGGGTTTTTTTTTCTGTGAAAATGTTTTTATTTTTTTTAGACGATAAATTACTTTTTCTGTTTCAGATTCGACAAAAACTTCGCATATCGCAAGTCGCGTTGAAATTAAGGTATTTTATAATTTTAAACCAGGGGAGATCTTACGAATATATAATGTATTACGAAAAAACGGAGAAATGATCGTCACAAAGCTTTGATTGAAAATTATCTTTGGTCACATCGTTATTGTAAGATCACATTAGTGAATAGAATTATTTGATCATACTCGACAAATAATATCATTAAAGATATTTTGTAGGATATATAATTAGTGATATTTTGTATTCGAGTAACACACGTGGAATTGAGATCAAGGCTTATTGATTTACTTAGTCATTTATACAGGGTGGCTTTTCTAAAGGTGCCCAAATTCACAAAGGAGGTTCAGACTCGGTAGTATAATCGTTTATTGAAATAAAAACAAACTTTTTTTAAAAAAAAAGCAATTCTATTCCCTAAAACAGAACTTGTTGACAATGCGGTAGTCATTCATAAATGCGTCGTACACTTTTGAAACGAACTTGTGTGCGTGTTTTTTATGAATTATCGCGCCGTAAAATAAATGAGTTGCCCATAAATCACGCACTTTTTGAGATAAGTTCAAATGAATGTAATTAATTAATTACGAGTGATTTTAAATATTTATCATTATTTATGTCTAGAATATAATTTAAAAAAAAATGGGTACACTAAGAAAAGCCTTCCTGTATTATTGACCATAGTCGTCCGTTTCTCCCGCTTTGGGACCGCCGATCGATGGTTCCAGAAGACTGAATTCGCCGCAGCTATTTTGCTCTATTCTTCCATGCGAGTGACGTCATCATCGACGTGGATTTGAATCTTGGCGATCATCATGACGTGTAAAAGGATAGTAACTACGTAGTTCTTACTTAGTGAGTTCAGGTTGTGCAGGCACCGTCTGTGCCATTATATCAAAACGTAAAAGATGGACCATTATTGTTATTGGTGTCAAAATCGCTTGGCGCCGCCGCTATCCTGCACCGTGACATTCCCTAACAAAGTTGGGGTGTATTTAGAACGGAACGGGAGCCGTTCAAGCGATTTTGACCCCTCGCACCGACGCGTTTTTAATTATATAAGCTTAGGCGTTTACTTAATAATTTAGCACTCACGGAATTGACGAATTGTTGATGCTTCCAATATAGAGAACACGTTTTTTATAGTTTAGGTGTACATTCATACTGCACTGGTTGTATACAGACATACTTTACATAAATATTATATACAAGTAGCATACTAAAAGGCTTTCGGTAACTTTAGAGGGTCGGATGTAAAAATAGATTCGGCTTATAGTGTAGGATGGCCGACCTTGTGACGTCACACGTGTCTTACAAGATAGTATAGTACATCGCTCGCCACACACTTCGGTCGAGTATTGAACACAAAGAGAAACACCGATGTACGCATAACATATAGTGATAGTAGTTATATAGCGACGACCTGCCAAACAATCGCCCAAACGAATTAACAGATTCCACGTTATATTTAACGCTCGTTCTCACCGCCATCGAAATGTTTTGAATGTTATTCGTATCTCCGTCCATGGGATAATCTTATTACGACAGGATCGGTTACTGCCGAATTGATTCCTATACGTTTGGTTCTAAACGCAAGAAACTCTGGTGGCTCCGATATTCGCATGTTTCTCAAATCTCACTGTTGACGAATGGATTGCATCGTGTAATATTTGCCTAAATTATCAAGTTCCTTACGCATCGAAAAGAGCAGTGCTAGCTCAGTGTCCGGGCGCTCGGTCTAAATTCAATATACTCGAGAACCTGCATATATATTTTCGAAATAATAACAAAAACAATATTTCGAAAAAAAAAATTATAAAGGCCAAAGCTTATAGAGCCGAACGGGCATTGAATTATAAAATAACAAGACGAACAAATTCATACAGGTGGTCCTGTTCAACATGGCATCTAAATGCTCATGTTATGTCATATCTTAAGAAATCGCCTGCACGTGTATACGTCGATCGACCTTCAAATGACCGCCCCGTGGCACAGGCAACAGACTGACAAACCTTTTTTTTTGTACAATCTTTCCGGTACCACGGGATTGTCTCTCCTATTGTATTAGTGATGTAAGTACGCTAACAATAAATCGAACAAACGTAAATACGGATTACGGACGTAGTGAGAGATCATCAAAGTGCACTTGAATATAAGACAGCAATTAGATGTAAAACATTCATTAACGTTAAGACGCTCCAAATTGATGTGTTTGTCAATTTGATTATATTATAGTTGTAAAAGTATGTTTATTGTCGTGAATAGTTATTTTTTCATGTATTGCGAGTAATGGATTTTTGATGTGTTAATTTCTTACATGTAAGTTTTAAGGTACAAGTATTAGAAAAAAGTGTATTTTTCGTTATTCAATTTATCTACGCTCATGTGTTGAAAAGCACTACAGGAATTGATACACACGGCAAAATATCTTCGGTCTTTCTATAAAATGCAATTGAAATAAACCGACAAATAGGCCATGTTAAATAAATCGTTAATCTCACTTCTAATATTGCATTTATACGTCTTTTTAGCTTAAAATGTATTTAGTTTCTAAGCTTTTATGTGGTATTATGTTTGAAATCAAAAAAATCTCAATATAATCTCTTATTTTATTGTAGTATTAAGTTTCGCTTTCAATATATCTGTTTAATGGGACGACTTTTCTCCCGATATAAGTGATAAAATAGTATGATAAGATTGAGAAGTAATGATGGTAAATATTATCATTAATATTTTAATGACTCGTTTAAATTAGTGTAATGACAATATTTATCAAACTTTACAATAACATGCTTACAAAATATGATACACCTAATATCAATGGAAATACATCAATTACTAGTTAAGAGAACATGCTTCCTGATAGATCTGACAATATAATATATTCAGTTATGCCTTAAAGAGATACTGGTAGTGATATAGGTAAGATTTTTTTAATATAAATTGCATGTTAGTCAATATTATACATATATACATTACATACATAACGATTGTTTCGACCCTGTTTTATAAAAATGACACGAACTCTGCGAATTTAAACTTTAATCTGCATAGGATGAAAAAAATTGCGATCAACAAAAGTTACGCACATTTGTTGAATTTCAACTTTAATTTGAAAATCGAATGCCTGAACTCTGCACGAAACCTAAACCGTAAGAACCTTAATAGATAAGAACAACAAATATTATATTATTTTTATTTTGTATGTGGTGTTTGGTCCCCTTAAATGTAGACAAAGGTAATACACCTGTCTTGTACTAAATTTAAGCTATAATCGTGACAATGAATGTCGCATTCGAACAAATAATACCGTCATCGTATTCTATTTTTAATGTTAATCGAAATGTCCAATTAATTATTTAAGCCGAATAGGTTTTCAAATATTAATCTTTAGCGAACTAAATATTTGAGATAATTTATGTCATGTACTGCATTTTTATGGAACAGTGTTGCAGTGACTGGCTGGAACCAGTGTAGATTTTTTATCATATCATTGGCATATCATAAGTTAAATTATATCGTATACATTATGGCCACACATACTGTTTGCTTGCGCATTGATATATAAATGACGGCGCCCTGTTGTTATATTTTAAATTCCTAATATGTCAATTAAATGTAGTAATTATGTTAAGAACATATATATTATGATTAATTTGTCTATTTTTTATGTGCTTTTTTAATTCTATTTTAAAATGTATTTTTATGTGATTATAATTTTTCACTTTAAAGTTTATCATTTATCTCATCATTTTAATTTAATTTCCAGTTATTATTCAATCCTTCAATTTGTCTTGATACTTTTAGGATTAGAATATGGTTGTAACTTTTCAAGTACGCATTAAAATAAGCACGTGCAATCTATAAAAAATATAAAGTCAAAATAAACGCGGTTGATAACTGTCAAAAAACTAAGGTTTTTAAAAGAATTTAGTTAATCAACTTATGTGACAGGTCGTTCACATTTTTGTGACTTATATAATTGTTTTATGTTTTATATATATATGCATTGTATACAAAAAAGCTTGGAACATAATAATCTAACTGCATTGAAATGAATGTAAAAAATATTACTTGAGAAATAATCCATGAGTCACTTGCAGTAAATTCAATTAACTATCGTTGTATTACTAATCGAACAAAAAATAATATATATATATACAGCGTGTCGTTACCATGGCGACAATAAATGAAACACATCTAACGCTACTTGCCAATAATCATAAAAAAATATTAACGTTAAACAAAATCCATAACTAAAAAAAAATATTTTTCAATCAAACTAATTAAGTAAAAAAGAAACAAAATTTGTAACATCCTGTACAACTCGCGCCACAGCGTCGCATTACAAGCCCCTCCTTCTAACAGTATGTTTTGTCTCTTTTAAATTCATTCAACCCATTCATATGTTTTGTGACCTTTACAAATGAACTTTACGTTACAGTTTTATATATAAGGGTGTTCTTAAATTGTT